AATTCAGTATAAGAACAGAATATTAAAAGCTGTCAGTGAAAAGAAACAGATTTCCTATAAAGGAAAACCCATCAAAATCACAGCAGATTTCTCCACACAGACCATCAAATCAGGAAGAGCTTGGAGCAAAGTATTCCAAGCCCTGAAAGAAAACAACCTCCATCCCAGATTGATGTACCCTGAAAAACTGTCTCTAGAAATTAATGGAGAAACAAGATGCTTCCAAGACAAGGAGAAACTGGGGGAATTTGGGACCACCAATCCAACTCTACAGAGAATACTGCAGGACATTCTAGAGATAGAGAAAAGTACCAGGATTTCAGGAACAGTGGCAGAGAGGCCTCAGTGAATGGAGCAGAAAGTGGAATGAAGAAGAAAAGCAGACAACTAATGGCAGAGAAATAGTACAACAGAAATGAGGCAGACAACATTGGCTAACATCTCTAATATAGATGGCCTTTATACACTAAAAAAAAGAAGAGAAAAAAAGAAACACAGGCAGAGTAGATCAGGAGACAGGGTCCACCGAGATGCTCTTTATAGGAATTATAATTAACCTGAAAAAGGGTTTACGGACTGAAAATCAAATATGAGGAAACAATGCTCTATGTGACAGGGAATCAGAAATAGGGGCAACTAGACCAGTATTTGTGGATAGGTTGGAAAGATAGGCTTTAATAGGTAAAGAAATACAACTAGAGATGAAGTCCAGGAGGGAGAAGGTTTGAAACCACTTAGGTAAATAGCAGGTTGCCCCCCCCCCAATCTAAAAACTGAGGGTGTTGGTGAGACCTAAAAATGCACAGTGCACCCTGGGGTAGTGAAAGGGGAGGAATAGTCTTAAAAAAGATGGCAGAAGATATTGTTAATAATGTACTAGGAATTAAAACCCATATTATTTGCACTGCACTGCTTAGATAGATTTTATTCTGTCCCGGTTTGTCTACTTGCACTTAGATCTGAGGGCACAGACAGCTATCCCCAAAATAGGATATAGTACAGTAATTATCTTTAATTTCCTATTAACTTTATATGGAGCCCTGTATAACTTACACTGTTTTATCATGACTGATCTTAATTAAATTTGGTTTGTTTGATTGCTGTTTGGTATCAACAGATTTTATTCACACCTGTTATGATTGATAGTATCGAGTGTGAGAGTATAGGCAACTACACTGAAGATGACAAGATTCACTATGATACTCATTCTGGTTTGATTACTACCTGTTTTTGAAGTTTTACACTATCTACAAAGTTGTGTTTTTATTAATATTGTTATGTATTTCTATATCCAATTATACTATGTCTAATGATATAGACAATTCTATTGAAGATAACAAGAGACAACACAGTAATCATGCTAGAACTCCTTGTACAGTGGTTTTATATGTCTTTTTATTTCATGTTGTTTATAGGTATATGTTTTGTTTTGTCTTGTTTTGTTTCTCTACTATAGAAAGGATAGAAATACATGTTAAGACTCATGCATGCATAGAACCTATAAACAGTTTACAAGAACTGATCTTATAACACCTGATGAAATGAACAAATACTTTGAAGAAAAAGAGCCACTACAGTATCTAGTGCTGATCTCATAGTGTCATGATGTGAAATCCAGCAATACTGTTATTCTTTGTTTAGAGTGATTTTAGCTTGCTTTGGTTTGTTTAATCTCAACATAAATGAAGATATGGATAAGTGCATGTATGTTTAAGTGTATAGGATTGATAACCATATTACTAAGTCTTTGTTGGATAGTTGAACAGAACTGTTTGCAGTCTCGCTGTTTGAATCCCCACTTGGTATGTTTCACTTTTGTATCTTGAACAACTATTTGTAAGAGGACAATATGTAATCATCAACTAGTGATTTCTTACTGTTTATTTTTTCTTTGAAAGTATGTATTATTTCTACCCATTTTCTGTTTTGTTTAATCTTTTTTTAAATAAAATTTAAAAAAGAAATTGGACAATTTCTAGACACAATCTAGTTACCAAAACTAAATTAAGATTGATATAAAATTCTAAATAACCTGACATCAGCTAATAAAATTAAAAATGCAATTAAAAACTTACTAACAAAGAAAAGCCCAGGCCCCTATTGGATTTGCTATTGAATTCTACAAGAAATTTAAAGATGAATTAGTGTCACTATCGCTGAAATGAAGTTGAAAAGGGAAGCAACACTTCCAAAATCATTCCTGGAAGCAAGTATCACCCTGATTCCAAAACTAGAGAAGAACCTATTCAAAAAGGAAAACTATAAGCCAATTTCCCTAATGAATATAAATGTAAAAATCTTCAATAAGATACTGGCAATAGAATACAGCAAGTCATCAAAAAGATCATACACTATCACTACGTAGGATTCATTCCAGGAATGTGGGGATGGTTCAACATACACAAATCAATAAATGTAATATACCACATTAACAGAACCAAAGGGAAAAAATCACATGATCATCTCAATAGATGCAGAAAAAGCATCTGACAAAGTCTAACACCCATTCATGATAAAAACTCTACAGAAAATTGGAGATGACCTTTACCTCAATCTGATAAAAGTTATCTATGACAAACCAACAACTAACATCATACTAAATGATCAAAAACTGGAAGCTTTCACTCTAAAATCAGGAACAAGACAAGGATGTCCATCATTATGACTACTATTCAATATAGTTCTGGAAACATTAACCAGAGCAATCAGACAAAAAAGGAGTAACAATAGGAAAGGAAGAAGTTAAATCATCATTTGCACATAATACTCTACATAAGACCCCCAAAACTCCACCAAGAGACTTCTAGACTTAATAAATAAATCCAGTAGTATAGCTGGATATAAAATCCATACTCAAAAATCAATAGCATTCCTGTACATAAGCAAAAAAGTCACAAAAAGAGAAATTATGGCTATCACACCCCTTATAATAGTATCTAAAAAAACAGAAAAAAAGAAATATGTAGGAATCAATCTAACAAAGAAAGTAAAAGATTGAAAATTATAGAACTCTGAAAAAGGAGATCAAAGAGGATATAGAAAATGGAAAATATTCCTTGCTCATGGATAGGAAGAACCAACATAGTGAAAGTGGCCCTATTCCCAAAATTGTTATGCAGATTTAATGCAATCCCAATCAAAATAATGTTAGTACACCTCACAAAGCTAGAGAAAATATTCCTAAAATTCATTTGAAAGCAGAGAAGACCTAGAATTACAAAAGCAATTCTGAACAACAAATGCAAGTCAGGGAGCATCACAATCCTTGACCAGAAATAACACTATAAAGCTACTGTGATAAAATCAGCATAGTACTGCAAAAATACAGACCTGAGGAACAGTGGAACAGATTAGAAGATGCTGACACAACTCCAAATGGACTCAGCCACCTTACGTTTGACAAAGGCATCAAACATGTTCATGGAAGAAAGATAGCCTCTTTAGTAAATGGTGTTGGAAAAACTGGTTTTCCACATGCCAAAGACTAAAACTAGTTCTGTGTCTATCACCATGCACTAAACTGAAGTGAAAATGACCAAAGATCTAAATATAAAATCAGAAACACTAAATCTGTTGGAAGAGAAAATAGTTAGAAATTGTAAAGATATAGGCAAGAGGTGGACTCTTCATGAACAAAGTCCCGACTGCACGATAAATACTACAAAGAATCAACAAGTGGGAACTAATCTTTTTTTCTTTTAAAGACAATAAAACCAAACAAAATAAAACAAGATAAATCCAATCAAAACAAAACAGTGAAAGTGATACAGAACTTCAAAACAAGATAATAGGTAACCAATAATACCACCATAATCTATCTTGTTATCTTTGAAATAGCCAGGATCTAATCTTATTAAAAGCTTTTTGCAATAAAAGAAATCACCAACAGAATGAAAAGAACTCACAGAGTGGGAAAAATTATAGCAAGTTATCCCTCAGATTTAGATCATATAAAGAGCTGAAAAAAATCACGCTCCCCAAATTCAAAGACACAATTCAAAAATGGGTATCTGAGATGAATACACACTTCTCAGATGAAGAAATACAAATGGTAAATAAGTACATGAAAAAATGTTCAACACTGTTGGTCATCTGAGAGATGGAAATTAAAACAACACTGAGATTCCATCTCACTCCATAAAGAATGGCTATTAGCAAGAAATCAACCAATGAAAAATGCTGGATAGGCTGTGGGGAAAAAGGAAGCCGTCTCTACTATTGATGGGAGTATAGACTGATACAACTACTATGGAAATCAGTGTGGAGATTCCACAAAAAGATAAGATTAAGAGGTCCCATTCAACCCAGCTACTCTCCATCTGGGTATCTTCCCAGAAGAATTAAAAACACCATACCACAGCAATATATGTGCACCCATGTTTATAGCAGCATGATTGGTAATAGCTAATTCTTGGAAACAACCCAAATGCCCATCAACTGAGGAATGGATAAAAAAGATGTGCTTTTTAATATAATGGATTACTACTCAGTAAAGAAGGTTAAACTCGAGAGTTTTATAGGTAAATGGAGACCATACTCATAAGTGAAATATATCAGACCCACATGTGTAAACATTGTATTGTCTCACTAGTGTGAAAAACTGAACAAGTCAATAAGATCCAAAATTTATAATAGATATGGTGAATTGGGAAGAAACTATTTAAAAGAAAAAAGAAACTGTGATGGGAGAACGGGGAAAGGAAGGAAGAGAAAAGAAAAAAATACATATATGCACAAGATAGTTAAGAGAGTTATACCACTAGTTTCACTTAGTTCATTGAAAGAAAGATTTGTGCTAATATTGTTTGGCCAATATCTTATGCCTATATCTTATACTCTGAGTAACTACTAGGAAGATAACAATACTCAATGTAGAATTAGTGTTACCCTTCTATTATCCTGTATTAAAACTCTGTTTTATTTTTAATTTTTCTATCTTTAGAATAAAAAAGTAAGAAATGAAGAAGTTAATAAATAGCAATCAGAAATTATTTACTCACAGTAAGAGATGACCAAAATGGGTATCCCACTAGCACTGCAATAGGAATGTATACTGTTGATATTGCACTCATTTGTGAGATGAAAAAGTATCTCCAGAGTCCTCCCAGGAGCTGAATATGCATGCCATTCATTGCTTGTATGGCCTAGGGGAGAAGAACATGATCATTTATCATTTCCTGTTCCAGTCCAACTTTTTTTTTGTCTTTTTGAGTCAGGGAATCACCACGCAGTTTAGGCTGGCCTTGAGCGTAAGCCCAGGCTGGTCTCAGACTAGCAATGATCCTCCTTCCTCAGTGTCCTGAGTGCTGGGATTACAAGTATGCTCTACCACCCCTGGCTCCAGCCCAACTTTTTAAAGGAACATGAATCAAGAAAATGCCAAGGTGAATAAAGGTGATGGTCTCACAGAACCACTGTATCTTACACGACTATTTACAACATCAGGATGCTATAAAGTGTGTACAATGGTGTGCACTGGTGTGTAACCGATGATAACAAGATAAAGTATTCTGTCATGACAATGATATCCCTCATGCTACACCTTCACTGTCACTTTCCCCTCAATATGTTTAACTCCTGGTAGTCACTACTCCATTCTCCACATCTGTACTTGTGTTGTTTTGAGAATGTTAGGAAAAATGGAACAATTTATTAGGTGTCTTTTGAGATTAGCTTTTTTGCATTCAGCATAATACCCTTGAGATCCAACAAGCTGTGGTATGTATCAATGTAGTTTGTTCTTTTCTCATTTTGGAGTGGCATCTTACGGTATCAGTGACTATACTTTCACAAGTGGCATTTTGATAGTTTCTAGTTTAGGGCTATTACAAACAGAGATGCTGTGATATTCTTATGTCACTGTCTTTGTAGGTATCAGATAAGTGGGTTAAGTGTCCAGGAGAGTACTGGCTGAGTTGAGTGGTAAGTGTGTGGTTTGGGGGGTAAGAACCTATCCTACTGTTTTTCTGAGTGGCCACTCCGTTTTTATATTTCACTGTCCATTTCTGATTTTAGTTGTTTTTAATAGTTGTGCAGTAACAGCTCATCATAGTCTGTGTTCAGTTATCTGGTGGCTAATGTTAGTATTTTTCTGTGTGCTTATTTGCTATCTATCTGTCTTCTTCCATGAACTGTCTCATTTTATATCCTTTACAGATTTGACAACCAGATCATTTGAATTTTAAAATAAAATATTCTAGATATAACTCCTTTGTCAGACATGTGGTATGAAAGTATTGTTTCCCATACGGAGTCCTGCCTTTTCGTCTTCCTAACACAGTCTTTCTTAAAACAATAGTGTTTAAATAAAAAGATTTTTTTCTTGTATGGGTAGATCATGCTTTTAAGGGTATGTCTGGAACTCCTAATTAGATATCAAATGTTTTTCTCCTGTGCTCACTTCTAAAACTGTTACAGTTTTACATTTAATGTTTGTACTTATGATCCATTTTGAGTAACTTTTATGTAAGTTTGGAACTTAAAGTTCTATCTTTTTTTAAGCCAGTGGCTATCCATGTTTTTGTTGAGAAAACTACACTTCTTCTAGTGTATTATTTTTTATCAAAATCATCTGGCAGTCTTTCTGACATGCATTCAGTTCCATTTCTCTATATGTCTCTTGCTAGAACAATACCACACTTGATAACTGTAGATATATAATATTTCAAAATTAAGTACTATAATTTTTTCAACTTTATTGTCCTTTTTCAAAAAACTAGATATTTTAGTTTCTTGGTCTTTATAAATTTTAGGTAATCTTCTTAATATCTACATCTACAAAAGATATGGCTAAAGACAGGGCCAAATCTATATGTCAATTTGGAGACACTCATCACCTTTACTATGTTGAGTTCTGTGACCCACAAACATCTTCTCAAGTATATAACCTATTTTGAATTCTTTCATTAGTATTTTATAGATTTAGAATTATGAGACCTGTAAATTTTTTAAAAATTTATTTTAAGGATAATAAAATCAAACAAAATAAAACAGAATAAAGCCAATCAAAACCAAACAGAGAGAATGATACAGAATTTAAAAACAGGATAGATAATAGGCAATCATAATGGTTACCATAATGCCTCTTGTTATATTCAAAATTGCTGCCCATGCCATTAGACTTAATAAAATCAAACAAAACAGAACAGATAAAACCAATCAAAACAGAACACTGAAGAAAACAAACCAATAAAATGAAACAAAACAAAACAGTGAGAACAATATTGGATTTCAAAAATAAGATAGAAGGAAATCCCCCATAGTTGCTATACTGCATACTGTTATCCTCCAAACAGGTGCTTAGGCTACCAGCTTTCGTCAATCAAATAATACAAGAATTAAGTTGTTTTTGTACCTCAGTTCCTATCAACTCAGCCTGTGATCCTCCAAATAAGCTGGCTGCTTACATGTGGCGTGGGAGGGGCTCAGCTCTTACTGTCTCCCAACCTGCTCACAGGAAAGGTGGATTGGCTTCTTCTTTTTCTTCCTGGCTTTGCATGGCCACCACTGACTCATGGGAAGGGAAGACTGGCTTCCTGCTCCTCTTTCTGGTCCCACATGGCTGCTGCTGGCTTACTGGAAGGTGGCCTGGCTTCCTGGCCCTGCATGGCCGCTTCTGGTTCATGGGAAGGGCCTACATGTTTTGTTAAATGTATACCTAAGTAGTTTTTTGAGTGACTGTAAACAGCATTTCATTTAAAATGCTGATTTCTGTATGGTGATTACTACCATACAGAAATACAATACATTTTATATGTATTGTGGAACACACTTATTAGTTCTAGATTCTGCCCCTCACCTTTTGATTTTTTTGAATTTTCTAAAATGAATCTCAATTCCACTGGTTTGACTTCTCCATGGCTCTACCCTCCAACAGTACAATGGATGACACAGAATCGTCTGAGTCTAGTAGTAAAGTAGCAAGGTGGATACCTGTTGTAGTTAATGCTGCCACCTGGAGAAGAGGGACTGCTGTCCACAGAGCTCCATGCTGCGTGAGAATGCATTTTTTACAATCTGACCATCTCATTAAGGCTAAGTAAGCTCAGGTTAAAGTGATTTATAGCTAGAAAAGAGATTTTTTTCTATCTAGTTTTATGCTCTGAGCGTATTTTCTAAAATTATGAGGGAGTCAGTGATACAGCTCAGTGGCACAGCACCTACCTGGCAAGTGTGAGGTTGTGAACTTGACTCCAGGTACAAAAAAATTAAGAGCAGGCTGTGATGGGTTATTGAAATAAAGTGATAGATTCATAATTTATATTTTATTTAACTTAAATATATAGCTTACATGCTCTGGTTGCAGGTGGAAAACTTAAATGCTACATAACACTTGCAGGACACTTCCTTTAACCCTGCTACATTAGGGGAGTCCATGGTTGAGGCACTAAAGCTTCCTGCCTTGTATATTTAGAAACTGTGACACTATAGTTATGTATTTATTCAAGTATCACTTAGTTCTTACCCCCACCATTCGCAACTCCTCTTCTATCCGTTGATAAGTTACTGACATTTTCCACTAAGATACAGCAGAGAAATGAGAGGACAAATGGCTTTTCTTTTCTGTAAGAAAATATGGAGGCAAATTAATATTCATGATGTTTTTGACAAGGTACCTAAATTTGAGAGGCTAATTCTACACTGTTCATTTTTTACTTTTCTATAGTCCCCAATAGATGCTTGTGTATCAAATCACCAACATGTACTTCTCAAAAAGTTTTGCTCACTTGCTAATTTTAGACAAGAGTCAAAATATGTCCCAATCACCTGAAGCCCTCTAGAAATTACCGCATCTCCATATTGACAAGGGCAGAGAACATTGGGTTTTGGTTACCATGGCTAATTCTACTGTTCACTGTTGCTACCTTCCAAGTTAGAGCTTGGCTCAAGGTGGCTGAGGGTGAGTGTCTAGGTCATATGCCTGGATCAGCCTCGGGAGAGGCTGGATCATATTATACTTTGCCAAGACAGGCTTCGTGAGTTAGGAAGTTACAAAAATAAAGGAAGTGTTCCATTACCAAAAAATTATAGCTCACAGATTCCTATTATGAAAATCGTGGATGATCTTTGTTATTCTGTGTAACTCCTATTAATCCCCTTCAGTTTCCATATTTAATATCTATGATAATGACTCCTAGGTCATTGCTGACTGGGACAAAGATAGATGAATCCCTAAAGCTGGGCCCAGGATAACCCCTGCAGCACCCTTTCTGAACCTGTGCTGCACTCGAGGAGTTCAGGGCACAGGGGACAAGTCTCCCCAAACTGCTTCGACTGGACTGCTGTTGAGAAGATGTGTGAACAGGCACTAGGAGTAGTTTCAAGGAGGGCTGAGAAAGGGAGTTTCGATGGGGGCTGAGCTCCACGGAGATGGAGAAGGACCAGGACCACCACCTTCCCCATGGCATCAGCCTTAAGTCTGGTTCCCTGTGGAAACCTGGCTGACTTTTTGCCCTTACGTTATGTAAATACACACTCATCTGCCTGTACCTCACTTTGCTAACACTAGTGAGACAGTTCTTGTTTACGCAGCTGAAAAGTTTATTGATGTAGTTAGCAATCTAGCAGCCTGTTACCTAAATTGTCTCTCGCGGCCGTCACCCTCTGCACTACCCACGACTTGTAAAGGTTGAGGCTGTCCCATGGGGTGTTCACTGACCCCCAGAAAACGGGGACAATAGCAGGAAGGCGGGCTGGAAAGTGCCTAATGTGCTCGCAGCGTTCGGGTCCTAACTCTGCCCGTGTGACCCAGTCTGTGCACTTACTCTTTCAAAGGCTCTTTCTTCTGCGGAGGGAAAACCCAGCGGATTGTCACTGGGACGCCAGCTGGGGAAACTCTCTGGAGCTCCAGCCGGGGGAGTGCTGCAGCGCCTGCCCGCTGCGCGGTCGGAACTGGGCCATGGATTTCTACACTGACCGGATAGTTGCAGGCCCAGGAGGGCGTGACCTTGTCCGGTCTTCCCTGTGCCTTAGATCTTGCTCGCCGGAATTCCTGGAGGAGCCCTGCCCGGTGGGCGCCACCTCCTCCTCGGAGAGCCCCGCTTCGCCGCGCGGTCCCAACGCCAGCCACGGTTGCGCGGGCGCGCGGGACCGGTGCACGCTGCGGGAGAAGGCCTGGGCCCGGGTGCGGAGCCCGGCCCTCTGCCCCTCTAGGTCAGCGTCCCGGAGCTCTTCCTCCTTTTACGACGAGGTCCAGAAGAAGGAGTACTGCTCAGACCCGGACTGTGCGGGTCCTCCAGTCGCGGCCCCGCACCGCGGAACCAGGGAGCACTGGCTGGCTGACCGACCTGCTGAGATCAGGCACTGAATCAGTGTCAGGTCTCGCACAGTCGTGTCCGACATCCAGTTAACAGAGCCCTGGCTTGAAGAGCATCTCCACCAAAGTAATAAGAACTGTGGGAGTAATAAAACCCAAAATGTGTGATTGTTATTGTAAAAGAGAGAGGAAAAGAAAGTGCTCTAAAGGAGACAACTGCAAGTGTGTTTAGGTATGTAAGATAGATGCCCATATTACTAAGTTTTTGTTGGATCATTGAACACAACTGTATGCAGTCTGTTTGAATGTCCACTTTGTATGCTTTAATTTTGTAATTTGAACAACTATTTCTAAGATGACAATATGTAATCTAGTAACTAGTGATTTCTGCTTATTTTTTTGAAATTCTGTATTACTTGTACCCTTTTAATGTTTTTCTTTAAATAAGATTTTAAAAATTAAGGAAAAAAAAAAAAAAAAGAGCATCTCCGCCAAGCCAAGCATCAGGGAGAAGTTTTTTAAAAAAGATTTAACTTCTTTTGACTTTTACCAGCACATTTGTAATACATGATTACAGCCACTGTAATCACTGTAATTGTTCATATGTGTTTAATTCAACAGATAATTTCGTAGAAACAAAAGAATGTTGTAGAGGTTGTTATCAGGCTCAGGAATATGGAAATGCTGAGGTTAATTCTCAGAATTTCAGGGAACAACTTGAATGTCAAAGTATAGGAACTTCAGTTTCTGGTAGTGGTTGCTCTAACTGATAGCAACTGGTAGTGAAGTGATCCACATACACATTTCAATTATTTCTTTACCCTTTCGCTCCACCCCCTTTTATTTCTCCAGCACCATTCATTATCTTATAAAGTCTTATGAAGTGAATTATCGTTTAAATCATATACATAGATGGAAAACCAAATGAATAGATCAAAGAACATCCGAAACTTCAGTCAAGGTGCACTTAGATGCCCTGTCGGTGCTGGACGACTCTACCTTTCTTCAAATTGTGTAACTCTTTCACCTTTCACCACCTTTTTTTTTTTTTTTTTTTTTAAAAGCCAGGGAGCATTGTGAAAGTGCAGAGCACTTTCTGGCACAGAGCAGAAATGCCTCAGGGAATGGGGTCACAATCAAACTCCGTTGGGTCCCACTGACCATCACGAGGCTGGCCGTGGAGGAGCCAGTGTGATGGAGTGCAGGCACCTGGGTGTTCCTCCTGTTGTGTGAGTGAACGAATAGCTATGGGGCATCACTGTGTGTCCAGAGCTGTTCTGGGTGCTGAGCCTAGGCAGCGGGGAGCTGACCTGGTCAGGGAAATAAGTAGGCTCCTGCCTAGGAGGACAGGTGTGGCCAGAAAGGGGAACAAATCCAGAGTCTGGAAAGCTAAGAAGAGCCCTCAGGATGATGGCCAGAGTCTCTTGTGGGATTTGGGGTGTGCGCCTCATTACACTTTGCAGTGGGGAAGTTGGTGTTGCAAAAGTCATCTCAGAAGAGAGGCGGAGGCTGGATCCTGACTACAGCAGGTTCAGGAGCAAGTGGGAGGTGATCATGTGGGGATAACCAATATGGATAGACAAATGGAATTTGTTTTCAAGTAAGAAAGAAATGTGGCACATAGAGGCCGAAGTAGAGTTCAAAGGTATTTTATGTTTTACAGGAGAAATAATAACACGTTTATATTCTGGGGAGAATAATCCAGGAAAAAAAAAAAAAAGGAAAAGCTGAAGCCATCTGTTGAGCTGAGAATGGGGCAGGAAGATTTGGGTCCGCTGGACTCTGTCTTTCATGCGGACAGACTGCTGTGTATGCTCCATTGTTTCACAGGGTGCTTCAGCATCTTGGCCTGTAACCCATCTTTCTGCTTTTTTAAGAGTTTGTCCACCCTTTGTGGGTGGGAAGGACGGAGGGTACATTTTCTGTGAATTCTCCTGACATTTCAAGTCCCACCTTTTCCAACTGAGAGCAACCAATGCTCATGTTTGGTGACCTAGGGGCTGAAATGTACTTACTCTGAATTGATATGCATTGTAAGTGTAAAATCAACACCAAATTTTGAACACTTGACATGATAAGAAAGACTACAAGGTATCTCAAGAATTTTTATCCTACTTCCGGGAGAACATGGCGGACAAATAACAGCAGGCACGGAGGCTCTCTGAGATTATCAGCTTAGAATCCAGGAGTGGTGCCGTGTGAGGAGTCCCATGCAAGGGGAGATGTACCTTGCCGACCCAGGAACAAAGTAAGCTGAGAGAAACCAACTGGAAATGCAATCCTGATGCTATAACAGGAACAGATAAAATCTCAGTGCAGAAGCTGAATCCCGCGCCATTGGAAGCTGTGATTTGAATTTCCTGCTGCCAATACTGCGTCCCAATCCGCACGGCAGGGAGAGAGGCCCGCCAAAGCTCTGAGAGCGGGAATCGCCCCAAACGGCGTTGAGAGCGGGACTGGCAGGGAGCCCTGCATCGAACTGTGGTGAGTGAGAGAAATGGGGACCCCTTTCATAGACTAGGAGGCTCCAACAGAGGACATTCTGGGAACAGGCAGACAAGCTGGAACACAGCCCTGCAGGGACTTTAGTCGCATATTTCCCTCTCAAGCGGGAGTGGTGGGGAGCACTTGGCCTGGTGACTCTGCGGACTAAGATCCTGTAGGCTAGGCCAAATCAGGTCCCTACACCTGGTGGTGCACCCTAGCAGTGCAGCATTCAGTAGGTTGACCTGGAGGGGTGGGCCCAGCAGAGGCTGCCCAGGTCTGTGTCTCCCTAGTACACTGCAGTGGGCGGGAACACTTAGCCGGCAGATACAAACAAACTGCCACAGACAAAGAGAAAAAAAAAAAAACTGAGCCTCCTACATACGCTTGTATGGAAGGAACAAAAAGTATGGGAAAAGGGAGCAACAAGAAAGGCTCCTCAGTCCCCAATCCTGAGAACACTGATCCAGGAAAGGTAAAAGCAAAAGAGAATGAAGACAGAAAACATGCAATATCAGACACGACACCTATAGATATAAAACAATATCTCTGGAGCCTCATAGACGAGTTCAAAAATGAAGTATTTAATGAAATAAAGCAAGAAATAAGTAGAATAGTTAGAGAAATGCTAAGCACTGCCCAAGAAAAAACAGATGGTAGAATGGAAGAACAGAAAAAAAGGGGAGAATTGTTTGATGGAGAAAATAGAGAAAACAGAATACGTGAAGCAGGTTCACAGAGATTACCAGGAAACTAAAAACTCTATTGAAAGCTGGCATAACAGCTTGAAAGAAACTAAGGATAGATTATCAGAACTGGAGGACAGATTTGTAAGGTGGGAGCATGAAATGAAAAACTTCTTACAAATAACAAGAAAACAAACAGCAATAATACAAAGACTAGAAGATGACAAGAGGATCTGTAACTTAAGAATTAAGAACATAAAAGAAGAAGTAGGGACTCAAACAAATGAACTACAAAAGCTATTCACAGAAATAATTCAGGAGAATTTCCCTAATTTATCAAAAGGTAAAGATACTCAGATGTATGAGGCATACAGGACCCCAGCCACCTACAAACCCAAACAGAGATACACCCAGGCATATAATAATAAAAATTCCAGAAATCCAATATAAGAACAGAATATTAAAAGCCATCAGAGACAAGAAACAGATCACTTACAAGGGAACACCCATCAGAATTACAGCAGACATCTTGGCACAAACCATCAAATCACGAAGAGCGTGGGGGGAAATAATTCAAGCTTTGAAAGATAATAACCTCTGGCCAAGATTGATATATCCTGCACAACTGTCCCTAGAAATTGATGGAAAAACAAGGTGCTTCCAGGATAAAGAGGAACTAGGGGAATTTGCAACCACCAATTCAACTCTACAGAGATTACTGCAGGATATTCTAAAAATGAAAAGTACCAAGATTCCAGAAACAGTGGCAGAGCGGCCACAATGAATGGAGCAGAAAGCAAAATGAAGAGGACAAACTGACAACTAATGACAGAAAAAAAGCTCAGCAGAAATGAGGCAGAGAAGGTTGGATGGTAGGAACCGCCATTTTGGAGAAAACAAGACATCATAATAGGTAGTGCTGATTTAATTTCCTCTTGTTTTGAAGTCCCATCAAGCTTTTGTTCTTCTGTCTCCATCGGTTTTAATGTGTTGTATCATATTGGATTTTATTATATGTGATAATATAAAAAAAACTTTTATAGACAAGGAGATTATACAGAAACCATTGTTCATTTTCTGTTAGTTGATTCTAAATACCATGTAATACTGTCATTCTCTTGAATGGTTTTACATTGTCTTGATATGTTTGAGGCTACAGTATACGAAGTTATACCCAAAGATTTTAAGGGAAGAGACACTATGGTAACTACTATTATGTCGAGATTATCTTGTGGTGAAACACTATTTTGCTTAAATGACTATGTTTTACCCTGCACTGTTTTGTTGTTATGCCCTCTTTTTTAAATCTCAATCTCCTTTTTATTATCTACTTTTTCATTTTTATCCTTTTAATTAAGGGGAAAAATAAAAAATAGCAGGATATATTATAGTAACCCACTTTGATTTCCTATTAACTTGATTTGAAACTCTGTATTGCTCTCACCATCTTGTTTTGACTGATTTTTCTCTATTCTGTTATGCTAGATAGTACCAAGTTTGAAAGTATAGGCAACAACTATGAAGACAATAAGATCCACTGTGACGCCCATTCTGGTTGACTATTATCTTCATTTGAAGTCCTCTAATGTCTCCAATGTTTTGGTTTTATTAGTCTTATTCTTTACTGTTTTGTTCAATTTTATTATAACTGATGATATAGGCAATTATTTTTAAGATAATAAGAGGCATTATGGTAACCATTGTTGATCACCTTGTATTTTGTTTTTACATTATGTATTATGTCCATCCTTTTGATTTGACTGACTCTATTCTGTTATGTCACATTTGGTTTTACTCTCTTCAAAAAAAGTAATAAGAACTGTGGGAGTAATAAAACCCAAAATGTGTAATTGTCATTGTACAAAAGAAAGGAAAAGAAAGTTCTCTAAAAGATATAACTGCATATATATATATAT